CACCGAATCGAATGCACCTTTGATATCGAGAACATGACAACGGTGGGCCGCCAATATATGTGACGGTGCTCCAACAACTGACGCAAGGTGAAGATGTGGTCAATGCAGCCACGACCTCGACGAAATCCAGCTTGCTCTTCACGAATCTGGCTTTCACGATTGCCAGTCAGTCTGTGAACGGTGACAGAAGCAAGCAATTTGGAGGCGATGGAGGTCAGGCTGATTCCTCTATGGCTGCCGCATTCCGATCGTGAGCCTCCTTTGAAAGTTGGGACTATGATGGAGCGACTCCAATCGGTTGGGACAGTTTCCTGCTCCCACAGTCTCACAAGTAGCTCGTGTAAATCATCCACAAGAGCAGGTCTCCCGAATATAATGAGGGCTGGAGGAAGGTCATCAGGTCCCGCGGCTTTATTTAACTTCGACAGTTTGATCTCATGTTCGACTTCTGAGCGAGAGGGTGGATCCAAAAAAAAACAGCACACGGAGCAGGGTGATCACTGTTCGGCGAGAAATCTAACAATTCCGACCGATTATATTGCCTATCAAAGTGCTCAGCTCAACGTTCCAGGCGTATTGATAAAGTGTGGATGGGCTGTCCACTCTCGTCACGTATAGTTTCACTAACACCAGGTCTCCTGCTGCCCGTTTCCCTTATAAGACGGAATAACTCACGATGGTTACCAAGGACAGCGGCCATTTTCATCTCTGTTGCACGATGAGACCACCAGGATTCGCAGTTTCTCTTCAGGCTAGCACGGAGTTTTGCCCGGAGCTCTTAGTGAGTTTCATTGTGTTCGCTTCCAGCCGGAATATGCCGGCGAGCATCTATAAGTTCCAAAGACTGTGAAGAGACCCAATGTTTATGTTGGCGATTAGACATACCACATGAGGGTTTGCCTGCTGCTAGTAAGGCCTGTTGCATATGAGACCAGTGAGCTTCAATTGCATCCAGTGAGCGTTTATCCAACTCGGATGACAGCGTAATTAGATAGGCGTTCAGAACAGCTAGATTCACCAGTCTGCCGGTGTCAATGCGCTCACAACATCGTCGCAAGCGTCCGCCAAAGCGCATCCGCAGGTCAGCACATACAAGTGCATGATCGGTGTCCACACATGAGCTCCAAATCGAGCGACAGCTCTGGACGCAGCCTCTACAGCGGTAACTGATAGAAATGTGATCGATTTGCGTCCATAGCTGGTTCGAGGCTGGTGGGCGCCAAGTCACCCTCCGGCGGGTGCTGTGTCGGATATTAGTGCTCGCAAGAAATAAGCGAGCATCCTCACACAAATGAAGTAACCGCTCACCGTTATCATTACGGGAGCCTATACCATGTTGGCCGCCCAGATGCAGCTCATCTGCGGATAATTTTCTAACTTGAGCGTTCAGATCTTCGGCCAGCACTACAGTGTCCGAGCTTCTTCTGTGGCATAGGAGTTCGTTCAGTTGGCGATAGAAGTCGTCTTTTACCGAATCATCGCTACAGTTTGTCGGTGCATAGGCAGCGATGACGAATAGACACCTGTTAGTCCCACGCGACTTCGATGTTTTGAACGAGCCAGCCAATCGGACGGCAAACATCCGGCTACTGATTGGAATCCAATCAACCAGAGCAGTTTCAGCCCGGGGACTCAGGGCAATACCAACACCGGCTTGGCCGGTGCTCGAAGCTGCATCGTCACCGGATAGGCACAATGAGAATGTGCTGCTAGTGTCACCTAAAGGGGATCGCAGAGTGAGTACAGAGCTCGAGTCTTGCAGGCGGGTCTCCGACAGGCAGCAGATATCGATCGAGAGGGTCTCTGAAATTCGGGCAAGTGCCGCCTGTTGACCAATCTGAAGCAATGTGCGAACATTGAGGCATGCCAGTCTGAAGGAGGATTGAGGGCTTTAAATGGAAGCCGATGAACTGGAATGGGCCGCTTGCTTGGACATGGGCCTCTTGACAGTGCAGAAATGGTGTTCTGCGTTCACCTGTGAGTTGAAACCAAAAGACAAGTGACTACTGAAGCAAGGTGGGGGAGGGCCGAGAATTGGGGGGTTGAAAACAGGGGGATAAAAGTAAAGCTGGAACGGGACGATAAGGGTGAAAAAGCGCAAGAAGGGGAATAAGAAGATGGGAAGGCTTGAGCAGGAGCATCCAAACCCCTATCCACCCTGCTCGATGCAGCAGATAGGGCACCGTTGATTATCCTCTGCGGTGGCCAGAGCATCAGAAATTTGTTTGGGGAAGGATTCATTGTATTGCGTGAGCAGGATACTGTCAGGTTGCCCAGGCCTAGAAGTTTCCGATTAAGTCATACTATGTTAAATATATATTTGCTCCATACTACCTTATTCGAAACTCTAATATACCATTCTAAATCGAATGCACGTAGCTCTAAGTTGTGTGCTATAACTTTTGGGTTATTCTTCCGCAGGTTAATATTTTTCTACTTAACTATTATTGTGGAAATGGAAGTTCCACAGGTTCAGAACATGGCTGCAACCCGATCAAAGGAAGGCACTTTTATTTAAAACGGATTACAGTGCACATATGAAGTGACGGATTAGGGATGTTAAGCTATTATCATGAGAAATATATTGTCATGTTTGAGCGTGAATAGAACCAGAAGCTTTTCGTCCACCGGTGGATTTCAGTTATCACGAACGGATATTGTCAGGCTCGGTACATTTAGAGAAATAAAGCATCCACATTGCAACCACATTAAGCCCAAAGACGGGCTACGTATATTCGACAGCCGCTTATAAACTATAAAGGGCGAAAGACTAATTTAAGACGCTAGTTATGCCCTTAAATAAACATTGAGTAAAGACCAGAATTGCAACAGTGAAGGGATCTCGTATGGAACAACTGTTGTCTTTCGATGCAAATATTGAACTACGAGTTGAAGTCGTTAGAATTTCGGGTCAAATTAGTTCTAAAGCCTAGGTGAGCGAATCACAGTTGTGTAGTTCCGGATGGTACAGATAGAGGGGATGTTTCCTGTAATCAAGAGGCAGATCGAGTCAACCTGGAACTGAATGTCCAGATAAATACTTGAAGATTAGGTGGTTTGCCCACACTGGACCGATTTGTGTCAGTTTGTTCCAATCTTCCTTATTTTCCAAGTCAAAATAGTCTTATAATGAGACGACTGTCAAAAAGTGTGGGAAATAAGCGTGCTATAATCATCGGATTCCCCCCAACTGCGTAGACCTAGGCACCATAAAGTCAGCTGAGACGTGCTAGGATATCTAAACTGCAGACGAATTAAATCAAGCAGTTTATGGAAAGGAAGGAAGATTTTGCCGATATTATTGTTAATACCGTTTACTTGTTAATGGAGCATCCAGTAAACATCTGCTCAGCTACTGAGGTTACAGGGTACTTTTGTTCCAGGTATTGTAACCCCTGTCCTTTAAAACTAGGTCGTCATAAAATTTGTGCGTCCTTCTTAGCTGTCTTCAGTCGCATTTTCCATCCTCAAGTGGGCCATTTCAAGTAATTGCTATGCTGCCTTACATCATCTAAACATAATAAAGTTCCAAAAACTACTGTCATTTCAATGGTCACATTGAACGGTGTATACTGCTAGCGTTTTCCTATAGACGATAAAACAAACAAATTGATTACTCAGTAACATAGAGTGTACGTTTTTCATCAAACGACGTGTCGGTCCCAATAAGGCGTACTTTATTATGTCTCTTGTTTAGGCATGATTTCTATGTTGTTCTAATAAAATTATATAATGAAATTTTAGACGACATACCTTTTGTTCTCTAGTTTTTCTCGGGATCATAGCAGTTCTGATGTACTGAACAGCAGTGTAGAGCTATTCGACGCTCGTTATAAATCTCCATCCTAATACAAATAACTTGTTACGTGCCGTTCTATAGCCTGAGCAGAATTTAGTTGCTAGCGTAAACTAAATAATTTCAGGTGCAATCATACCAATATATCTTTGCTGTTCATACCTTGCGCCTTAAGCAACACCGAGTAATCTTTGCTGATAATCCTAATAGCTGATTTGCTTATTTTCTTAAACGAATATAGTTTAAACCGGATAAACTGATTAAAGGAGCTGGATTGCTTCTTTTTATAATATATTTACCTCTTGCCTGGTAATAGTTCTTTAAGATGGAGGCTAGTCAATGCCGATGCAGGACGCATACGAAGTGAAGTAAAATACTGTATTACTCTTACTAGTGGCAGGATTGTGCCACGAGTTCCTTTCTTCAGAACAATTCCTTCTTATCCTTCAAAAATACTGTATTGTTTTGCGTCACATTTGACGATTAGCCCTTGAATAATATACTGCCGCATCATCAAGTAAGAGAACTTATGAATCCATTAAGAATTCTCAGATTTTCGTGGAAACGTTTTTTGTAAATGTATGGCGATGCATTTACCCGACACATCACAACAGTCCAACTTGCAAATCGGAATAATTGTGAGAACCTGAAACAAAACGTAACGTTATGCTTTAGGTGAACCACGAATCCAGGACCTCAGTGTTGGCAATCTGAACATCGCTTATGCATCGACGGTGGAGGATGAGAAAAAATGCAGTCATACAGCAAACATCTGACATGAACACATACATTTGTCATGAAATACCAGGAGCTTAATTAAGAAAATGGAAAATGATGTTATGGTCGATCACATAAACGTTTAATCTGGTCGCAGGTATAGCAGGTACATTAGGGCTAATATAAGCTTTTACTATTGTAGGGTTTTACCAGATATAATGTTACACGTGCACAAACAAAATGTAATAAGTAAAACGTTGAGAAATCGCTGAATTACCGAAGCAAGTTGCTTTTATCATTAAATCTTTTGGCAGATCACTATCCAGCAATCATTTATAAAGGTATATTTCAGTTTTACCGAGTAGAAAATAGGAAGAAACCTTGGAGTGACAAAGTGGGAAGGTTGTGTAAAACAATTTGGACGTCTAGCATTATCCACCGTTTCGTAAACGTAACACATATATGATTTTCAAAAAGTTGCACTCACTTTTCGGCCTTTTCTATCGCATTCTTAAGCTCAGGTTGACTCAGTATCGCAGTGACGTTGACTAAATTTTCAAGTCCCAGGTTTGGGAGCAGCGGAATAAATTCAGTTGCAGTCACCGGCTGACATTTGTTGATAAGTGCATATAGAATTTGCCTCGGGGGTTGCAATTGCAACAGATTTTGAACTTGGCGAGGTATTACCTCGTTAGTAATCCACGTGGGCCATTCATATTCCACGAAGAGATCCAAAGCTGCGTCAGTGATTCTCATTGCTGACGGCTTGTGTAGATATCTGCAAGCTTCGTCATTCATCAAAATGAGAAAGGTGGTTATGATGGCAGATACGACGACCATCACCAGAAGGAATATGCCGAATATTGCCACCACTGCAGCGCCACATGATACATTCAGCTTAGATCCACGCCGCGTTGAGTTCACCGCTTGTAAATCTGAAGTAATTCTCGGAATTGAAATTCTTCTAGCTGGACGGAAGGCTATGGAATAAAAATAAATCACTGTATAGTGACATTTATATCGAAGACGTGTACGGCGGTTAAAATGAATGGTTACATAATGAACCACTGTTTAACGTTAAAGCACTTCACTAGCGATTACTGAAAAATCCTGAGCTTGGCGCTATTGTGCTGAAACCACTGAATGGTCATAGCTTTTGATTTTTATGTTCTTAAACCGTAGAAGAAGTCATTCTTGAGCAAAGCGCATCGTAAGACATTTAGCAATAAGTTTGCTTTATGAACCAGTCCGAAAGCTTAAACTTCAAAGGGACAAAATTTGGAAATTACTTTTAGGTTATTCATGCTTATTTGCTACTATCAGTATAACCAGCAAAAAGGTTTAATCCATTGGTCTAATCTTCTCGAATCGCTCAGATGGTATTTAGCGTAGTCCTTTACCGAGGATCATTTCGATACCCCGTGTTAATACAATGCATACAAAGCATGTACTTAACAATTCTAAAGTCTGAATTTCACATGAAAAGCACAATTTGTTCAAGGATGCCTGCGTCACAAGCAACGCGAGAGTGCCGACCTTCATTTCGATTTGGCTGTACTTTGCTGCTAACCATGATTGCTGACGGCAAAATCTTGTTTCTTCATTTCAACCTCAAAGGACCAAATTTCCCTCTTCGCCTTCTTGATATAATCAGTGTGCTAACTGCTGCTTTAGCGTTATTGTAAGAATTACTGCGCAGGTATTATGTTAAAAGAACATTAAACATGAACATAAACACACATAAGACATTAAACATTTTAAACATGAATTAAAAATTAAAAACCTAACCATAAAGTTTATAGGGTCAGAAATGTCTCATTTGCAGCAAGTATTCATGCTTTACCTGCAGCTAAAACGCTGCGCATAGCATTCTTGCCACACAGGTTGTTATGTCTCGTATGCATAATAAACAGTCAAGATATTGAAATGCATTTCAAATAGCCCGCTTCACCGTCAATATATAGAATCGAAAACTTGTGTAGTCAACGACGTTCAGTTTAAAGTACATGAGTAACTAATCTAAGGCATGCGTAGCGTAATAAAACTATATACTTATTGCAAATCTTTACGAGTTCTTGAGTCCATTTAGGCTGCGACATTTACTAACTCAACATTAGTGGAAGGCAATGGACAACCAATTTGATGTAGTAATGGTATACTCCATAGCAGAGTTTGCTAAGCAAATGCATGAGCAAAACTGTAATCATTTGCATCTAAAGAATAAGGTTTCAAATAATTCTAGGAGGCAAGCAAACTTCTGTGTTATTTCAAAGGTTAACCCATCCTTACAATGCTTGCTGTCAAAGAGTCCTCATACGTAATGAGTTCAAGTATACCATTGGCACATGAAGAAATGATTAAGTCGTAGATGTATTATTAGAATATGGAAAATTAATCATACATATTAACAGTACTGTTCCACAATTATGATTATTTTGCCACTCTGATGTGGAAGGAGTGCATGTAGAATCAAGTGACTTTCGTAACCGTTACTGTATATAAGGTGATAGGCATGTGAGGCGTAGAGCTCCTCGTTTTGAAATTCACAGTTATTTGACATGATATTCAAAGATAGATAACCAATAAAAAAATGAACATAATGGAACAGTGTTTTATGATGGGTACCAGGCACTAGAAGGACATGTTCTATGGGTTGGTATTAGGAGAAATCTGAATTGGTATAAGGTATAAGCAAACCAGATGAAATACGCATTAATGACTATAGTACACCTGCGGTATCAGTAAGTAGAACGTTAGCGAATTTGGCGAAATCTGTTTAGCTAAATGAGTGCCTTTGCTACAGGGGACTTTACGAAATTTGAGATCAAGAAACTGTGCTTAACCAGTCAACAAATATATGTTTCTGTCGGGCTGATACATCTGGTAATGCGGTCGAAAATTCTGTTTTTACACAGAAGCAACCTGCTTCTCGGCAAGGCATCGTTAAAAAATACTGCTAACGACTCAGTTAATCTCGTGCCACCCACTTCCAATGCATTTGGGTGCATGCTATGTGCATCAAGCAAGTTGACTTGCGCAAGGACATCAGTCGCTTTACTGCATCTGTGCAAGTAAAGAGTAATTGATTAATAGTTGTTGGTCCTCTGATCTACGTAGGCAAAATGTACTTTGAGAGCACAATTCGAAAGACAAGTCTAGTTTTTATAAAAATAGTTTAACCCCCATTATTGCCGTTTGCTTTAGTCCACCTGCAGCGTACAATGTATGTATCCCGTATTTGACCCTGCGAATATGGTTCACATGTCGGCAAACTGGTTTCGGGTTATAGCAAAATATCATCACATGTTTATGTTCGTATATTACTATATCCTCCCAGACTAGTTTGACGGAATGCTTCGTTTGCTTGGTATCTTACTAAATGTGTCCTCGCCCGGGGAACATATGTGTGTGCGCCAAGCCGAGTCCGTCGATGACATGCCTGCTATCTGCGAACGGCTTCATTTATTCGAATAATAGGTTTGGTTGTCGATTTGTTGCTACCAGCTTGTTGAATCGGAAGAAAGCTCACTGCAAGCAACCTCGAAAAAAGTTCGGCTCGGAAACACTTGCTTGTCGCGTCAATGAACTCAAACAGGTTATCATAAAATGTTACCAGATGAAGTTCTTTAGTACCATATATAAAATGCTCTGCCTTGCACAAGCAGCAACCCTACTGTCGCATAATCTTTGCTGCCAAGGTGGTATGCGTTGTTGTTATGTCGATCTTGAATTCCTCGTTGCTGAATCTAAGGTCTGAGATGCCGTTTTGTTTCCTGGTCTGAAACCCACCGTCGAAGTGATGTTGTACTCCGGGTACGAACGTGTCTTTCTTGCAGATAAGCATTGAATCCCTCCTTGAGGATTGTCAGAGCTACTTAAACAAGCAGGCTGACCGCCCCTATCAGCAGAATAAGACTGAAATGTCTTATCAATAGATGCTTTGTAACAGAGGCTAGAGCCTTGTTTGTCTATTAATAATTGGACATTTAGTTTTTAGTATACACTAAACGTTCATCACCATTCCGCAGATGTAGGCCGCACAATAAAGTGTCTACGGCTTGAACCCCAGGCTCGTTTACGTGGTTGATGCATAGATCAGAACGTTGTTGGTACTGCGTTGGTCTTTGCACATTGGTCACTTTTCAACCGATAACATAATAGAATCGGTAATCAAAGCGTTTAGTCATATCTCGGAAATTAGTTTGAGGTCCGAGCAAATGGAAGATTAACGAGATGGAAACACGGACTAGTTGCTGATAATAACTCGTGCTTCGTATACAGACAAATGGGGGTTACGGATTCCATGACCGTACCTGCTCACAATGAACGTTTCCTGCGAATTTACGCCGGCCGATGTAGAGCCGGCTGACAGTCGTTTTCGTATGAAACTCTGGCGCACAAAGCACCAGCTACTTAACTTTGCAGTAGCGACGCGTGGAGGGTTAATCTTTTCTTCTTCGAGCGGCTATGGATTTGCACTGCGTAGTGGTTCAAATATGCAGAGAGTAAGGCTGGTGATGAAAATTCGCTCATCTTTCGTCTGCTTAGCAAATGGTGGCCTGACTTCGGCTGCCTTCATATGTATAACTAAAAACATTATAATCGTAATAAACACCTATATTTAAATTTCTGGTTACTTGTGCACCGCTTATTCAAAAGTCCTACTAGTAAGCATCTTCTTTTTGGAGAACAACACCAAAAAACTAATAATAATAAACTAATGTTTAGTGATTTGACGACTACCATCTAATCAGCGGAATAATTCGTACACGGCATTTTCATGATAAAACCGGGGAGCAGTCGAGGAGAAGCTGTGTATTTCAAACGGAAAAATAGCACATAGAAGCAACGATCGAGAACGCAGCTATGTGAGCAAATGAGCGATCAACCTGGTTGTTATTCTCTTTTACTCAACCTTGTCTGTGTATGGGATGTAAATATCGAGTAGCAAATCACAGCCAAGAGCAGCTAACCCATTTGACAAATTCTGTTTGGAAGTAGCAAGCCAACCAATTAAACATACCTTTCTCGACATTGATTTAATTCTGCCACTGATTTCAAAGTCCATGGAAATCCCCGCACTGAAAGTTCAGCATCACTCTCGTATTCGGATTAATGGCTAGCAACAAAAATTAATATAAACTACCAAAGTTACCAGTACTCTCGATTATATTTTTACACTAGGCATATTTGAAAGTAGTATTATAGATCCTGGAACACAGCTTTGAAACGCTCATCTGATGTTCAAACGTTGCATGCGACTCCGCATGGTTAATAAACAGTGCCCAATGCATAAACGTAAGATCCGGTCACTAGAACTTGTTCCAAATTCTGGCTCGTCCGATGAATAGGGACAAGTTCCCTGGTCTTGACCTACATTGAAACAGGCTGCTTTCAAATACATTGGGCATCCGCACAGTTTTATTAGTAGTACTAAAAGGTGCGCGTCTAACAAGGCCTAAAAGCTGTCGCAATCTACCGAAGCCTGCAATTAATATTCACATCTTTCGACGGAACCATATGCTAAGTCCAAACTCTGTCATATTGTTCTAGCGATCAAATATTTCTGACGAACTACATCGTCAGAGCGGTAGAAGTAGCAATCTGGAAGTGTACGAAAAGTGAACGGCCATAGAAAAACAATTGAAAGAAAGCAACTATTTCATACCCGTGAATGTTGCCGCAGTTACATGAAATTTTCCCAAGAATTCGATGAGATATCAGGGCAGATTTCAGCAACTCCTGAAGACAAACTCCAGCACAAACATAACCTAGCGCTTAAATTCAGTAATAATATTCAAATGTTGTACACACATATCAACAGGTTCCGCTGGAGGCAGCGTGATTCCAGTTCTACATGCAAACTACATAAGATGCTTTGCCAACACTTCCTCCGCACATCTGAAGCGCATTATCATTTCGCCCGCTTTGGACACAGCTCCCTCTGACCTAGTTTTTGAACCACGTA